TGTAATATCAAACTTGTAGTCACGTTTAAGATATAAGAGCTAGCTAGGAAAATGTTTGAACTACTGGCCAAGCAGTGTTGTAATTCATATACTTTCTGTGTGATTATTTGAGTCTGAGCAGCCTCTGCTTAAAATACACAGCAATACATTAATAGCTACTGTTTTGTCTTGCCATTCCTACTGTAACAAATGTTAAAAGTAATCACAATGCTAGAGATAAAAGGAGAATCTAACATGGGTTCTTGCATCATTTCCTACTGTAACTCAGCACCCAGTGGATGAAATATAGCACAAAGACACTTGAGAAAAGCTCCAAAAATTATTATCAGTTGCAGCTCTACTATGAAAATAATTATAAACAATGTACTGTGTCTATGTACTAGTAAACTTAGCATTATAAAATATTTATATGGCTTTAGTAAAGATAGATTATTACATTTTATATACAAATTAATTTCAACTCATTTCTATGTCAGGCCTCATGTCAAATTTAGTTAGGACAAGAAACTAAAAATTAACACTCAAAACTCTACAGCCTTGATTCACAGAATAAAAATATCTGTTACCAAGTCCAACAACAAAGTTCGATCACCAAGAGGATCACCAAGTTCCACATGGTGAAAGAGAGAACCAGTTCCCACAAATTGTCCTCTGATCTCCACATCAAAGTACTGGACTATCCATACCTACACACACACACACACACACACACACATATACACATATACATATGCACAAAAAATAAAACATCATTTTTTAAAACTTAAAGAAGAAAAGCCCAGAAATAACATACTTTCAACAAGGGAAAGAACCTACAGCCTTCAAAGTATTTTTATAAGCAATTACTGGCATACGACTAAAAACAGATATGCAAAAAGGCAAAAGGAAAAGATGGCAGAACTTAATTAAAAGGGATCTAGAAAACATTCAGAATATCGTGGATACTTTGTATTAATTATTATTTTGTATATGAGTGTTTTACTTATATGTTTGCCTGCATGTGTACCTGGTGCCCAGAGAGGCCAGGAGAGGGCATGGTATCCTTGGAACCAGAGTCACAGAAGGCTGTGAGCTACCATGTAGGTGCTAGGAATTGAGCTTGGACCCTTAGAAAGAATAGTCAATTCTCTCACCCAGTAATCGATCTCTCCAGACCCAAAGACAAACTTTAAAAAACATGAATTTCCAAAGAAATTTGAAATTTCCAAGAAAATCAACTAGACATTGTAGAATGAAAATATCAACCAAATATATAAATTTGTTTAACAGCAGAATGCAAAGATAAGCTGGAAGATAACTTAGAAAATACATAAACAGAAAAGAGGAATTAAGTTAGCAAAGACGCATAAGAAGCATATAACACTGCACAAGGAAGCTTTCCAATACCTGCATTTCCAGTTCTAGGAGGAGAAATGTGAAAGCACAGCTCAGGAGTCATACTGAAATTTTTAAAATTGAATTTTAAAGACATCAGCTCCCATATTTAAGAAGTTCAGCAAACTTCAAGCTGGATAAAAGCAAATCACATTGTACCTAGGCACATCACAGTCACTGATTAACATCAAAGACAAAAAGAAAAATGCAAATGCAGCCAAAGAAAAGAATTCACTGTGATGACTGCAGAATCCTCAACAAAGTATAATGATGGTTAGAAAACTCGACTGAAATAAGCCCACAGAAATGTTCTCAGGAAGGGAGGTCTTTTCCCTTAGGAAAAATAAGACACTTTAGCCTTATATAAACTATTTTTAAGTATAAAATATGTAGAATGCTATTAAAAAAAACTATTGCCAAATTCTATACTTTTTCTTAAAAAGTATCTTCTAAAAATGAAACTTTAAAAATGAGAAAATCTGAAATAATGTATTGTCCTTTAAAACATGCATCATAAAAAATACTAGAAGATATGCTTCAAGCTGAGGGAAACTAATCAAAACCTAAGCTATAGGAAGAAATAGTAAACTTAGAAGGGAAAACCATGTGGTCAATTATAAGGATTTTTTTTTAACTGTTTTGAGAATTTCATACATTGCATATAATGTGTTTTGATATGGTGTTTCGAAAGGTAATAAAATAACAGTCTATAACATACTACAACAAAGGCATCCAAAATAATGAGATTTTAAAAGTTTGAAAATTACAAGATTTTTTTATGACTTCCAAAGCAAGGCAAAAATACTAAAGATAAATGATAATGAATTTCCAACATATTATGCCAAATGAAGATTTCAGACCCATAAGGCTATCTATCCACTGCATGATTTCATTTTATGATACTCTAGAAAAGCAAACATATTGAGCAAGGGTCACAGTTAGGAGACAGGGACAGAATTTAACTAAAAGAAGCAATAGAATTCTGGAAAGAGGTAGATGGTGATGATTGCGTAACTGTGACCACTTGCCAAAACCCACAGACCTACCTGTACACTGAAAGTAATAAATTTTACTGTAAGGAAGGTATTTGTACCTTTATAGCCCTCAAAGAGATGGTACTTAATTTTCATCTAAATTTATCACAGTATCAAAAAACTAAAAATTGTAGTTGGCAAGTTAGCTAACTGTTTTTAAAATTATTGTCCTGAATCTTAAAAATTGCCATTTCAGGCTTTGATTTGCTTTTACAACTCCAATTTATATACCTTTATTTCAAAAGAAATTACCTACTATTACATTTACCTGAAACAATACTCAATCTTCTGGCTTATGAATATATGTCTTACTATAAAAAATAGGTATCAAACTGAGCACAAAATATTAGCTGAATTATAATAAGGAAAAATGTCTGAATGCCATAAAGCAACTCCATTGTTCATGTTCTGGCTTTAAATTTAAAATGAAATCCCCGAGGATGGTGTACAAACAGCCTTACCAGGAAAGCATAAAGAAAAGTCTGGGAAGACTTACTTCCCCAAGGAGGGAAAATAACTATGTATTTAATACTGAGTTCATATACTTATTTATAAAATTGTGCTCTTCTGTTTAGTCTGTTTCTAGATTGTATTTATATTTATTAAGTACATCAGCTCTTAATGGCTATTTCTACATTTTAACGCAATTGTTAGAAGTTTAATTTCAATGTACAAAAATAATGAAAGGGGCTTGAGACCCTATAAGGGATTAGAGAGATGGCTTAGACTTAAGAACAGGTTCTGATCTTGCCTTTGAGCTCCCAGCAAAGATATCAGATGGCTCACAACTGCCTGCACTTCTAGTTCAAGGGGATCTGATGCCCTCTTCTACACTTCATGGTGCTCATGAGGACAAATCCACACACAGAAAGACATATATACACATAATTTTCAAATAATAAAAATGAGTATTAAAAGAGACTATGATTGCTTTTTTATATTTTGTTGAGGAACAACTCGCATTAATAGCACATTTTCCTTCATATAGCAAAACCAAGATATCCTCTGTATAAGAAAAAAGGAAACAGAAATATCAGTACTAAAGATGGAACATGGAAAAAAATCAGTGATTATTTAGGAGCCTAAATTATAAAAGAAAAAAATCTTCTCTGGAAGAGAAGTCTCTCCTGAGACTTTTAATTAAGATTTTCTGGGTCACTGCTTTTTCTGTTTCCAGCTTAGGAAGATAAGACTTCAGGCTGTGTAGCTATACTGCCAGAATTCAAAGAAGGTTCTACCATTTGTTAAAAGTGTAACTTGGGCAAATTAAATCACTTAACATCCCTTATGATTCTTCATCTGTAAATGATTGAAAACAGCACTAGAATCTCATAAAGATATCCTGAAATTCAGTAAAGTAATCTGTCTATGGCACAGTACCTGGCATATGACAAATACCCAACAAATGACAGTTATTATTAGTAATGCCTAAATCAAAAATAATGAATCACATACAAACTTCAGTGCAAAGACCACAACTTCCGATACCCTCCTTCGTGAACCTCCAATAAAATGATTCAATTCAAGAAATTACCGTCCATTATCTTATCACTGACCACTGAATTGCTTGATGAATAATCCTACTGTGACAGCATTTACCATCATCAAGCCAACGATATGGCTTCATTTGTTTTTGTAAATATATTACTATTCAACATTATCTTCCATAGGCTATTAAAAGAACCTGATGATGAGTTACAGAGGATACTCTGTGAAGCACCTGAGTTCTGAGAGCAATGTGAAATGCAAAGGATGCAAATGGCAGAATGGGAGAACCGGAGGCATCCTCTCTAATGCTCCACTTTCAATTCATGAATTATGTTTCTAAAAAAGTAATGTATAATTCAACTATATCTCAATACCACTTGCTGGTAGTGCCAATTATCACCTCTAATGCAAAAGTTTTCATATCTTCCTTTCTCGCCCTGCAGCTTTTTAAGGTGACAGTAAGCACTGTACACATGATCATTCTTAGATGTGAAGTAAGAGAAGCAAAGCTTGTCAAACAACTTGTAAACTTAGTGGCTGTGAGTTAAAGACATGTATAAATAGATATCACTGTTTATGTTTTCCATTTAAATCAGACTTTGGCTTTCCAAACATCTGATGTCTTTGAACAACTGTGTCACAATCTTTAGTAGACGAGAAGGAATGATAATTACCCATGTTCCAGACACACTGTTCTATCTAACAATGAATTTTTGCTATTCATCGTAAAAGCTTAATTAAGAGTAACTAAGCCTTTCAAAGATTATGTCTTTGTTGTAGTCCATAGAATAAAAAAATTAATATGCACTAATTTGAATCACATAGCTTGTGTTCAATAGGCTTAACATAATTGTAAATGATACATTAAGCATATAAATACCACAGCTTTTATATACTGATTCATATGCAAAATAAGATTTGTAGCCTTATCTACATTAACTATATAGATATCACCTACACTTTTTAAAAGCCTGCTAACATACTTAAAATTATGCAAGGACAGTTAGTAGAAATTGTATTTTTCAACAGCAGAATGAGACCCTACACCTAAAAGCCAAGCACAGTATTACATCAAATCCTTCAGTATTTCAAACCTACCGGAGAGACTCAGCCATCCTCCTCAAGTCTTCATTTTGTTGTTTTAAGCGTTCCAGCTTTGCAAGAATCTTGGAGAGTTCTCTGCTAGAATGATCAGGGTGGTCATTATCTCGAACCAAATGACCACCTATATAAAACAACAAGGTGCCCCAGGCAAAAAGAATGAGCATAATCCAACGCCAGGAACCAGTCCATGGCCGCATTTTCAGAGTTTCAACTCCCGTTCTGTCTTCCTGGAGCTCAAAGAAATGGAAACATTGTACTCCGGTTCTAGTAAGCCGCACAGGAAAAAAAGATTCTGTTGTTTCAACACATGATGCTTCAGACAAATTAGTCTCTCTGGTGTCCTGTGGTGGACTCTTAACAAAAAGATCTTCCTGGTGAGGCAAGGAGGAAGCTCTCCCGTCTTGTGCTTTGTGGACTCTACATGCTGTGGAAAGAGTAAGAAATGGACTAAGTTGTTTACGATATAGAAAACAATGTAAATTGACATTCATGGAGTCCCAGAAAACCCCATGATAACTGTTTGACCAGGAGGCTGGCTTAAAGACAGTTTGGCTAAATTCGTACATGAAGCCAACCACACACACATTAGCGTTCTACCTGACAGCAAATAGTTCACTCTAAGCCTGGAAGTCTAATTCCATCACGATTATTCTTTCTTGAATTGTTATGTAATAACTCATATTATATAGGGATTAAAAGATTTTATCTTTGAAAAATTAGCCAAAACCAATTCGGCCATGTATTTCAGGCTAATGTGTTCATTATCTAAACAAAAACAAATTCTCAGCATGAGTGAATTCATTTCTACAAATTCTCATCTCTCCATCTCACTATTTAACTTGCAAACTGTCATTTTTTAGGATATATTCTCAAACTGACTTGAATTTTAGAGAAACATAGGTTATCACAGCCATCAACAAGTTGGCAACCATGCCAAACATCAAAAGATTCAAATGGATAAAGCCAGACTTTACTTTTTCAATTATATTTAAAGCACTAATAATTACAGGGTTGGATATGATATAAGTATATTATATACATGTATAAAAATGTCACAGTGAAATCAATTTTTCTATATGAACAAATAAAAGTTTCAAAATTCCAAAGAAAGCTAACACCAGTTAAACTCTTAAGGTGTCTATGCATTTTAAACTCCAAATGTTTATTTCTTGCCAGGTGGTAGTGGCACATGCCTTTAATTGCAGTACTCGAGAGACAGAGGCAGTTGCCTCTGTGAGTTCAAGGCCAGCCTAGTCTACAGAGCCAGTTCCAGGATAGGCTCCAAAGCTACAGAGAAACCCTGTCTTGGACTACTCCCCGCCAAAGTTCATTTCTCAATCAGTATGCTTAGAATTCTCTTAGAAATAAAATTATCTTCTTCCCCCAAAGAGCATATATGAAAAATGTAACTCTAAAGCTATGAAAGAAAAGTCAAGTATCAAAGAATATGTGTGTGTGTGTGTGTGTGTGTGTGTGTGTGTGTGTGTGTGTATGGAACACATGACCACAAATCAAATTATCAAAAAGATTAAATAGAAAAGCTAAAAAAAAAAGAGATTGCAAAAATCAGAGTTTAGGGCTACTATTAATTTTTCTACTTTTGAACCTTAATATTTTTATTGATTTTAAATGAACAAAAACTCAAAGAGAAGAAATTCTCTCCAGAATGCCCTAGAAACCCCATTTATTCTGGTTTTTACTAAAACATAGAATGAGAGGAGGAGGAAATATACTCACTGACCATTATTTGAAAGCAAAATTCAAAAAGCACTAATCCCAAGGGCTATTTAATGTCTTGTCTGCTACTTTAGTAACAGTGTTAATTCTGCCAGGGATACTGTTTGCTGTTGTTGAGCCCTACTGCTTTATCTTCTCCCTTTCTCAAAATTCTGTGCCTCTAAATCTCAGCTATCCCCATATATCACTCACATAAAGACTAGAGTCTGTCTAATGGTTCTAATTGTTTACCACCCTAGAGGTGGAGGGGGGGGGGGCTTGGGAGAAAGGAACCAATGAATGAGGTGGACTGCAGTCTCATCCAATAGTCAGCTTTATTCAGAGCATCAGACAATTTATACTGAGAGTTAAGAAGAATCACACAAGTGTAAAATCACAAGGACAAGCTGCATTTGGCAAAAAAAAAAATATGGTTTTCCATAAAAGCATATAAACAAATAACAATAGCCAGTTGTAATCAATAACCTGAAGTAAACTCACTCCTCTCCACTGTACCTGGGAGGGACATGAAAACATAGTCCAAGAGTTTTGTTTTTAAAGAAACTGAAGCCACAAGACTCATCTTTCTTTCTTGAAATTTTCTCAAAAACACTCGGAATTCCCCTTGCATAACTCTACTTCTGGACTACATTCTATAACCCAGGTGAAGAATCAGTGAGGTCTACTCTTCCACCTATATAGAAACAATGCAGAGACCCTGGGATTTCTGATTAACATAAAATTCTAGTCTGGCGGCTTAAGCAATGGATTCAATTTAATAATTCATTAAAAACTGAAGCTAAGACATGTGAGTTACTAATACTTTGCTATAACAACTTATATACCACTGAAAAATTCCATCATACCACATGCTGAAACTATTACATACCCTAGCTATTTTCAAGATATTAGGAGATTAGATAGATATGAAAGACACAAACAAAAAAGTACAACTTTATATTTCCCTAGACTACTATAATAAACAGCAAAACAAAACTTTCCAAAAAGAATAATTTAAGCAACAAGGGATAACAAAATAGGCTGAAACATTTTACTTGCAATTATACTATAAAGTATCACAATATTCAAAGATACAATTTTAACAATCAAATTTTATAGAAACATATACTTTTTTATAGAAATAACACTGGATTTGATAAACCAGTATTCAAAATATCCAAGGTATTAAATTACTATAGTTGAATCAAGACTGATATTATATAAACTATAAAATATAAATCATTACAAAAGTAAAATATGATCATGTTCTTAATTATTAATATTATCTTAACTGTTTTTGAGACATTGTTTCTCAGAATTCTAGAGTTCTTAACAAGTATTTTTAAATCGAATCAACAAAAGAACCAAGTTGAAAAATTAGTATTTTCTATGTAGTTTTTCTATCATGATTTAAAGCATATCTATTGAACCTTCCCCCCATCTGCTAACCACAGTGAAAGCCTAGTTGTTGTTTTCTTGTCACGTATGAACTGTGACTGCCAAAATATAAACACTGCAATTTTGGTCATTTTGTTGCTGCCGTCTCCCAAGCACTTAGAGCAGTATTTGCCATTTAGTAATCACTAATGAAAACTTATGAACATGTGAATACATGGACTGTGTCACACATGATTTACAAAGAAACTGAGCACATAAGCTACAACTACATTTATGTCAAACTTTATTTTTTTAAATATTTATTTATTAAGTATACAATATTCTGTCTGTATATATGCCTGCAGCCAGAAGAGGGCATCAGATCTCATTACAGATGGTTGTGAGCCACCATGTGGTTGCTGGGAATTGAACTCAGGACCTTTGGAAGAGCAGGCATTGCTCTTAAGCACTGAGCCATCTCGCCAGCCCCTATGTCAAACTTTAGACAGCAAATTTTGAAATCAGAGAGCACTATCATAAGCAAAGTGGATCAAAGATAAAATCATTTGTAAACTTTAGGATTTACTCTTTCAACATGCTATCTTACAATATACTGAAATTTTCTTGAAGTAGGTTGTTTTCCTTTTAAACGTTTATGATCTTACTATTTAGAATCTCATAATACTCTTCTTCTGAAGAATATTAACTCAATCAAAATATGGCAGGCTTTCCCTGACAATGTATTTGATGAATAATACCAACTTTTAAAAGCACACCAAGAGTGACATACTTCCTCCAAAAAAGGCCAAACCTCCTAATCCGTTTCAAATACTACCATTCCCTGATGACTGAGCAAGCAAATATATGAATTTACAGGAGCCATTCTTATTCAAACCACCACAGCAGGTACACAGATCCTGTGTGTGGAGGGCAGAGGTCAACATCTGGTGTCTTCCTCAATTATTCTCTGCACAGATTAGTTTCTTGTCAACATGACACAAACTAGAGTCATCTGGGAAGAGGGAATCTCAACTGAGAAAATACAACTGTAGGCAAGTGCTCCTGGGGTACAGACAAGAAAGCAGACTTAGTAATGTGTCTACTTCAATTCCTGCTGCTAGGTTCCTGACGTGACTACTCTCAGCTAGAAAGTGATATAAATTCTTTCTTCCGTAAGTTGCTTTTGGTCATGGTGTTAAACCATGTGATAAACACAGCAATAGAATGCAATCAAAGGCATTAGCTGTCTTTTCCTTTTTGAGACAAGGACTCTCACTGAACCTAGATCTGTAACTGGCTACACAAACTAGTCATGCTCCCCACAATGACAGTCATGGATCCGCCCTCTAAACTGGGAGCCCTAATAAACTCTTCTATAAGTGGCCTCGGCCATTGTGTCTCTTCATAGCAATAGAAAAGTAACTAAGAAAAGTCCTGTGATAAGTAAAACCTTGAAAAAGTGGTAGTAGACTAAAATATTTGGTTTTTAATGAGCAAAAGAAAGATAATATTAACTAGAGTTTATAAAATACTTTACAATTCTTGAAAACATTTAAGCATATTACCACATAATGTTCACCAATACTTGAGTCTACAGAATATCATTCCAATTTTACAGTTGGGTAAGCTGTTCATATATTTTATAATCATGACTGATTTGAGAAGTTTGCTCTTCACACTACATAATATTACCAATCAAATATATATGCACACAAGTGTATATGTACACATACAACTCAGTTAAAAACTACAAATGTACACATTTCACTTCAGTTTATTAGTACCATAACATTACTTGTTTTGTATATCCACAAGTGTGAGGAGGCCAACAACTGATCATGTGTGTCTTCCTCACTCACTCTCCACCCTATTTTGTTGTGTGAGGATTTGTGCTGTGTGTGTGTGCTTGTGTGTATTATATGTTTGTACGTATGTTTGTGTGTGTGTGCGTGTGCACATGTGTGCACTGGCCTATTCAGGCATTTGTTAGTTCATAGGCTGACCAGGATATCTCCCTCAATCTCTATCAATTCTCTGCCTTATTTTTTGAGACAGGATTTTTAATGCAACCTTGAATTTGACATTTTGACTACACTGGCTACTGGAGAGTCTCTGGGATCTGCCAGTTTCTGCACCTCAATGCCGGTGTTATAGCCACTGAAAAAAGAAACTTGGTTTTTACATGGATGCTAAGGATCTGAACTCAGGTCCTAATGCTTTCAAGCAGGCACCTGACACAGTGAGCCATCTCTTCAAACATAAGAGTATCACTTTCAACTGCTTTCATTTGAGGCCAAAGAGACAGATGACCAGTCCAGACTGTTAACTTAT